AGGCCTCATTTCTCTCCAGAAAGCTTTATGTGTTTTCAGAACTTCAGTATCCATTCTGTACATTGTTTCACCTCTCATGCAGTTAGAAAGACATAAAAGATTTGATGGCATTTATGGGGACCTTTAAAAAATGTAAGTCCATTATAAATCTCCGGCATCAGCTAATGTGCTTTGATTCCCATTGTAAAATGCTCTTCTATTCTGTATCTTTTGCAAGAGTATTCTACAATGCAGAATCTATGCTAAGAACATGTATTGCCCTACCCTGTTTTTATTTCTTTGCTTCAGGTTTGCTTGGATTTGTACTTGGTATGATCTCTCATTTTAGGATCTCATAAATCAACCTGACCTTTGCTGTTGCAGGAGAGGAGAGGAGGAGATGAGGAGAGGAGAGGCGAGGAGAGGAGAGAGAGAATCCTATATAATAAAAGAGTAATATGCAAATTAACAATCACTCTGTGACAAAAATGGCAGCACCCAGTCCTCTCAGGCACAGGGAGGGCTGCAGCTGAGAGAAGGCAACATGAGGCCCTGGCTGTTGGCCTGGGAGGCACCATCCGCTCCCAGCCTTGACCTGGGCAGTGACCTGGGAGGCAGACTGAACCCTGGACACAATCAGGCACGATCAGCTCCCAGACATGACCTGGGCAGGGGCCTGGGAGGTGGCACCCCCCACCCCCAACCCCCATGAGATCGGCTGTGCACCCCTGGTGTGATCAGCACCCAGCTGCAATCTGGGCCATAGGCCTGAGAGGCAGCTGCGCCCTCCCCCCCATCCTTCCACCTTCAACCCACCTACCTCCACGTGCAATCTGCTCGTACCCTCAGCCTGGGCTGTGGGCCTGGGAGGCACCTGCAACTGCCTATCCCCACCTCCCCACCCTCCAGCAATCAGCTCCCATCCACAACTAGGGGGTGTAGCCCTGGGAGGCACTTGTGGTCCCTAGAGCTATCCATTCCCTGGGGCAGCCTGGAATGTCAGCCTCCAAAGAACCTGCACCCCCATGGAGTGATCCCCCCACACCTATAGCCTGGGAATTTCCCTTGGCCCCAGCAGAGTGATTAGAGACAGAAAAGGAATAAAAAGATAAAAGAAAGAGAGGAAAAAAGGAAGAAACAACCACATGATATCATCTTTCCAAGGTCTCATGAAATTCCTGTTTAATGAGTTTATTTTATGACACGTTTAGTTTGGGTTTACATTTTTATTGGTTTGTCAAGACCACAGCAGGTACACTGTCCAATATGTCAAAGACAAAACCCTATCTAATAAAGAGGGAATATGCAGGGGAAGGCATCTGGGGGTGACCAGGCTGTCAGGGGAGGGCAGTTGGAGACTATCGGGCCAGCAGGGGAGCAGTTAGGCACCAATCAGGCTGGCAGGCAGAGTGGTTAGGGTTAATCAGGCTGGCAGGTGAGCAGTTGGGAGCCAGCAGTCCTGGATTGTGGAAAGGGGGGTCCCAGATTGGAGAGGGTGCAGGTTGGGCTGAGGGACATCCCCCACCCCCAGTGCACAAATTTCATGCACTGGGCCTCTAGTATGAATAGATTTACACAATCCAAGAAGTGAATTTACAGACCCTTCTACTCCAATAGTTCTCATGCTGCTTTTTTATTCTCACCTTCCTGTCTCTCTTTTCTTCCTATCTCCCTCACTCCTTCCCTCACACTCTCCTAAAGTCTGAGACCATTTAAATTTATATGGAAGCATGAATGAGGCAGTACCTCTACCTCTTCCTAGCTGTGGTTCTGGGGAGAATAATTTGGGGAAAAAAACTGGTTAATTATATTAAAATCAGAAACCCAGATGTTTACATCATTTGCTTTGGGTTCTGGTTTTGATTCCTGGGACAATGTGAGCATGCTGAAAACTCTTCTGGAAATGGGAAAATTCTTAACACTAATTGCCACAACTAGCTGTTGAAGTTTCAAGTTATCATCTATTTTTACTTGCTTTTAAACCCTCTAAAAGTTAAGTTTGAATATGGTAGTAAAATTATGGTTCAACTTTGTTACCCATTTTTCTTTTTAATCTAAGTTCATAAGTATTGTATACATGGTTCTATGATTGCAGTAACGTGGGGAAAAGTCTGTTAGATTTACATCTATATAGTTTAAGAAAAACTAAAAACTTTATATTTTCTGAGACAAACCTTTATTGTACAAGGCAATGCAAATATATTATTTGAAGGTTTGTAAATTAATGTACCATAAATTGAAATGTTTACCAAATTCTTGAAAAATCCTATATTTACTTAAAACAATTTTAGTATTGTCTACACTGAAACTATTTCTTTTTATGCCCTATAGAACATAAACTTAAAATTAGAACAGTTACATGAACAGCAACATTACATAATCATGAACTACGGTAGTTGCATGCTCTCTAAAGCTTTTGTTCCTCTAGAGGGCAGTGCTTCCCTTTTCATCGCGAATCCAGAGAAAATGTTAACAGCCTTTTTCAAGAACTAGAAATAATTCATTCTACTCCTTTTCTCTTCTCAAAATAGATTGAATAACTAAGACATGTTTTTAACCAGAAAATATCTTAAATAATTAGAGCTTCCATAAACTAATATTTGATTTGTATTTTTAGAGAAGATTTCTTTGGCTTTCCTTTATTTTCTAAGAAAGCATGAAAGAGCTTGACCTATGTTCTAAATTTAGTTATAATTGAGTTCTCTGTTTTTTGAAAGGTAAACATTATTTACCTCTTAAAAACATTTTGATTTAAGATTCCAGATCTGTCAGTGGACTTGCTAAAAAGACAAACAAAAGCAGAAATACAATTTTTTTTTTCAGTTGCAAGAAATGATACCTTTCTCTATCTTTCCATAGAATATGTTCTAAACTAGTAAACTTTTGTAACCTGACATATTTTATTTTGTCTTTGTCTAGTCTTTTTGGTATAGAGATGGAAATTGGTAGAAAATATATAATAAAATTATTTGAATTGTTTTTATATTATATGATCAAATAATTTAGGAAAATAGGTTTGTACCTTCCATAATATTTCTATCAGAAGATATATTTTAAGAGTATCAACTAATTATTGGCTTTGCTTAAAAATGTTTCCTTTTAGAAATTATGTCAATAAATTATTTTGTTTAAAGGTTTTGTTTCTTGCTAGTGAGAATGTAGACCATACTTTCTCAGTTGGCATTATAATTGCTTATTATTCTTTTGACAGAAACATATTGGAGATTGTGGCACATGAAAAAACAAATTTTGTGCTATGTAAAGGTGATAACAATTAGTTTGTGTTGCTAAAATTAGTGTTCAGTGCCTTCTCACAATAGCAATCTTACTAGCAGAATGAATAGTCTCTGTGATAAAGAATGTAATATTGCAAGCATGATAGTTTCTCTTTAATAATTTAAAGTACCTTTGAAATGTGTGTTTTTTAAGTGTGTTCCAATATATATATTGAAAGCTTTGTGGATTTTTATTTGTTTACTTTCTTTTGCTTTAAGTTCTTTTACTTGCAAACATTGATTTTCGCAGAATGTAGTTGTGATAAAGGACCTCATAGATCTTAAGCTTTTCCTAGCTGAGCTAATTTTCCCTTGAGGTTTTTTTTTTTTTTTTTTTTTTTTTTTACATGTAAGTGTTTTAGCAGGTTAGAGTTGATGCAAATAGAAAATACCAAAAAATACTTATATTTCTATAAATACTTAAAAGTAATTCTAGGAATTTTCACAAACATTCAAAGAAGATTAATATAAACCCTTCCCAAACTCTTCTGAAAACTGAAGAAGAGGCAACACTTTCTAACACATTTATGAGGCCAACATTATCCTGATACCAAAGCCTGGCAAGGATAACATAAAAAAAAATACAGACCATTATCTTGATGATTAAATATTGAAAAACCCTAAACTAGCAAATGGAATCAATGCTTCTCTCTCGTTGATGTTTCTATCTCTTTCTCCCTCTCCCTTCCTCTGTGAAATCAATAAAAACATATTTTAAAAAGTTGTAAGGATGGATTTATATAGGAAGCTTTAATTTAAAGAAAGAATCTAGGTTGAATTGATTTGGAATGGCATGACTGATCAGGGAGCATTTGTAACAAAGATCTCTGAGGTTATGATTATGATTAAAAACAAGGAAAGAAAGGGCAGAGGAGCAGAAGGAATTACACCTAATGTGTGTCTTTCAGATCAGGGACATTGCACAGAGATAGATACTCAAATCCAAGAGAAAGACATGTTAAATATTTACTATTCGGAGAATAAGGGGTCATCAACCAAGTAAAGCAATTACATAATGAGATGGGTGTTGTATTAGTTATCTAGAGCTGCCAAAATGGAGTACCACAGACTGTTTACCTTAAACCACAAAAGTTTATCTCCTCACAGTTTTGAAGGCTACAAGTATGAGATCGACAAAGGTGTTGGCAAGGTTGACTTCTTCTGGGGGCCCCTCTCTTTGACCATCTTCTTCCACTGTCTTCATCTGGTCTTCCCTCTGAGTGTGTCTGTATCCTAATCTCCTCTTCACCTAGGGCTGTGGTTCTCAACTTTCCTAATGCCGTGACCCTTTAATACAGTTCCTCATGTGGGGGTGACCCCCAACTGCTGGAAACCAAATCAGTTTCACTGAAAAAGAGATGTTGACTTGAAGCCAGGAAGGCTGGTCAACAACCTTAATTGCTCTAACCTTTAGTTGAGATTATGTTAGCTGAAGCAGAATCTACCTTATTTGTCCTGTGTAAGTTTCTGTTATTTCCTGCCCAGGGGCTACATGTAAATTTCTATTTATGTTGCTTAAGATGTTTTCCCCAAAGCCTCAATAAAAGGGGATGGCAGGGCCAGAGCCGGAGTAGTTCTCCCACTAGAGTTGGACTACCGCCTGGCCCCCCAAATCGCCAAATTGAATTTCTTCAAGTCTCTTTTCATTTGTGTGCGGCCCTTCTCCAGAACCTGAACCCTGAATTGGAACTCTTTCTACGCGGGCTGTGAAAGAGAGTCCTATACCCAACCATAACATTATTTTCATTGCTACTTCATAACTGTAATTTTGCTACTGTTATGAATCATAATGTAAATATCTGTGTTTTCCAATAGTCTTAGGCTACCCCTGTGAAAGGGTTGTTCAATCCCCAAAGGGGGTCTCGACCCACAGCTTGAGAACCGCTGATCTAAGGACACTAGCCATACAACTTCATTTTACCTCGACAATTTCTTTAAAGGCAGTACTCCTAATACAGTCACATTCTTAGATTCTGGATACAATTCAGCCCAGAACAGAAATGTTCACTTCAAGTTTGCTGTGAACTTACCCTAGTATCTTCCCTGTGTGAATACAAGAAAATAGTCTAGCCAATAAAAAGAAGAATCATTATGATGGATCATGTAGGATAGAATGTATTTTAAAAACTTGTTTTTATTTAAACCCTTTAAAGGAAACCCTGTTTGACCAGAAAGATATATTTGAACCTGTTACTTTTGAGGGAATGGAAGGACTGGAAGATGTTCTATAGGTAAATGGTATTGGAGTGCCTGTGGAAATTGGTCTAGGACAGGTCTAAACCCAGAGCCTTCTGAGGAATACTATATCTTTGTTTTTTCTAGTTTCACAGTGAACCTTCAGAATGTGCTGGGGTTGTTTACCAGCCACTCCCATGAATGAACATGTGAGCACAGAGAGGAGTCAGGTGAGGCACTGATGAGGCTGGAAAGGCTGAACCATTCACCTTTGGTAATTTCCCTCCTTGCACTATTTGTTTTTAATGGGAATTGGGGGAATGGGAAGCCTATTCCTTTATCTTAATATGTGTTGTGTTGTTTCTTGTTTTATGTAACTATCTCTGTACATTTCCATAGTCTTTGTCAGTTAAATGTTTTATAACTTTGTCTATTGGTGTATTTTTAATTAATATCTCATAACCCCACTGGACACTCATGGTACGCTTGATGATAGGCCAGAATTGGAATCATTCATCCAACATTCACTGAGGTTATGATTATGATTAAAAACAAGGAAAGAAAGGGCAGAGGAGCAGAAGGAATTATACCTAATGGAATTATACCTAATGGAATTACACCCTCATCTCTCCCTCCTATTAACCCCTTACACCTCACCCCTACCCCTTTCCATGCCTTCCCCACACTATTGTCTGTCCATGGGCCATTAAAACATTCATCCTCCCCTCCCCCCACTCATTTATCTAAAGCTTATAAAATACTTTGAACTATTGTATTTCAGTAAGATACAGCTTATATTTTAAATAATTCCTAACACTAAAATTGTGATTAAACCCAAAATTGCAGTTGTATTTTTCAATTGTTACCTCAAAATTCAGTGCTTAGATAAGCACACATAAATATTAATAGCCTCAAGCCAAGTCTATTATTATTATTATTATTATTATTATTATTATTCTTTTGGCTCCAAGCCTTATTCAAATTTGTTTCTAGGACGTTGGGTCTAAACATTTAATCCATGTCTATTCCCTTGAATAAGTGGCAATGTAAATATTATGGTAGAATTAGTTCAGATGGGAAATACCAATGCCTGGTATGAGATTATTGTCCTGAAACTAGGGCCAAGGTCTATGTGGTGGGAAGACCCATGTGTAAGACTTGTCTGCCATGGAGAGGGCTCTCTCCAGCTGAGGATGATGCTGGAGGGCCAGGTTGTGTGGCACCTTTCCTTTAGTGAGAACAGATGAACTCTTCTTGGAGATTATTTTTAAAAATTAGTATCTGATTCTGTTATACTATATAAAGTATTAAAATATATAAAGTATTTTCAATATTTTTCTTGTTTTAATTTTTACTTTTATATTCCACAATTTTTGTGGTATGTGCTGGGCACTGTCTATGTGCTCAGTGAACAACTATGAAAATCTCTACCAGAGGGGAGCTTATGTTCTAGCAAGGGAGATAAATAATAATATAACAGTATTATATTAACAGAATGTAATCATATAACAATATTATATTAATGTAATTTTATTATCCTAATATATAAAAACCCTGTGTCGTAATGACCAGTAATGACCTGAGGCTGACCAACTAGAAGTCAGTGCTGGCTGGAAAGGCTGAACCATTCACCTTTGGTAATTTCCCTCCTTGCACTAGTTGTTTTTAATGGGAATTGGGGGAATGGGAAGCCTATTCCTTTATCTTAATATGTGTTGTGTTGTTTCTTGTTTTATGTAACTATCTCTGTACATACCTCCAAGCAAGTGGTAAGGGCAATCAGGCAGGCAGGCAGAGGGGTTAGGGATGATCAGGTAGACAGACCAGCAGTTAGGGGTGATCTGGTAAGCAGATGGCCCCTCATTGGGCTGGTTCTACCCCCCAAGCAAGTATATAGGGGCAATCAGTCAGGCAGGCAGAGTGGTTATGAGTGATTAGGTAGGCAGACCAGCAGTTAGGGGTGATCAGGTTGACAGGCAAGTGGTTAGGGGAGATGAGATAGGGAGCCCAGCGGTTAGGGGTGATCAAATAGGCAGGCAAGGTATTAGGGGAGATCAGGTAGGCAGACAGCACATGACCAGGCTGGCCCCGCCCCCAAGCAAGCAGTTAGGGGCAATCAGGCAGGCAAAGTGATTAGGGGTGATCAGGTAGGCAGGCAAGCAGTTAGGGGAAATCAGGTAGGGATCTGGGGGAAGGAACGCCTACTCTTGCATGAATTTCATGCATTGGGCCTTTAGTAAAGTTATAACAGCCACTTTTACAACTATGAGCAATTAAAACCTTTGATGCTCTTCAATGTTTATATTTATCCCTACAAGCAATTGGCTTTCAAATTCAGTAACTTTCTTCCAATTAAAGTAGCTTACATCTCTGTTAGTTTGTATGGTTAAATCACCAAGTCATTTGCCCAACTTTCTGGATAACTTGCCTAACTTGTGTTCCATAAGACCTTTGAACATTGAGGCCTACTGGAAGACTTAGGTCCTTTTGCACATCCACCAAGATATAGTTCTTCCTTACCTGGCAAGGGATGAGGCAGATGACGTGCCTTTGCTTTTCCTGGGGTCATGGTGCAACAGAGCCTTTACTCTTCTTTCCCTGGAGAAAATGGTTGCCCATTGCAAAAAGGGAAGGAAAAGGAAATGAGGATAGTTCAGTCCAAAGCATATAATCCTTTTTCTTTCTGGGGTCTATATATTCATGCTATTTCAAAGTATTTCTATTAGAGACAAAAACCCTGATCCTCAGTATTCTGGTTGGGAAAACAAATGTATCATTCACAATCCCTCAATTCCATAAAGCTGAAATGAAACCTTGGGGACAGATGTATTTCAGGATTCAGAAATTTTTGGCTTTTAGTAAGTTAATACAGTAACTATACTAGATATTTGTATTGTAATGTTTTTCACTCAAAATTTCTAATCCCAGTTCTTGGACTTTTGGATGACTATTAGTGATTTGTTAACTTACTTGAGGTTTATAATTCTTAAGATGAATCTTTAGAAACACATTTAATATTAAGCCAAGAGTTTTTAAACCTTCTAACAAATACTGAAAGAAAATTCAGCATTACCAAAATGTGTAAAACATCAACATTTTCATATACAGTATATATACTTTAGTTTATCCTAGAAGACTTAGCTATTTTAAGTGTAACCAGTTCAGTGGGTGAAATAGGAAAACACAAAGATTAATTTAACAGTTATCTACATACTCTGTTTCCCCAAAAATAAGACATCTTCTGAAAATAAGACCTACTTACAGGTTTCCTTCTGAGTGAAATATAAGGCATCCCCCGAAAATAAGGCCCCCCTGGGCTAAACATGAGAGATTTGGTCCACTGATTCTGAAAGAAATGGAGTCACAAGAAATTCACCAGGAAATTCAGGAATTGGATTGTTATGATGATGTTCCAGAAGATGATGACATGATTGTCATTGAATAAATGAGTAAATTCTTGATACTGTAGGATTCACAGTTTGTCTGGTTTGTGTTGACAACTACCGTACTACCGTACAGTATACAGGTAATAAATTTCCTTTATTTTCATTTAACAATAAATATGTACCGTATTGTTCTTCATGGAAAAATAAGACATCCCCTGAAAATAAGACCTAGCGCATCTTTGGGAGCAAAAATTAATATAAGACACTGTCTTATTTTCAGGGAAACAGGGTAGTTTATTAAAGAATGCATATATATATATATATATATATATATATATATATATATATATATATATTGTTTTGGTGAACAATAAGTATTTTCCCCCTATGCAGTTACATGAAATTAAAGTCAAAGTACTCTTACTCTTAGAGAGTGTATAGTTAAAAAAAGTAAAAACTCATGTATGCAAGCAACTTTTGGGAGTAATAATACTTTTTTAGATTAGAGGACAAGACAATTTTTTCTCATTTATTTAGCATTCGGGCTCTGGGTATAGACATCATGTTAGGTAATTCTAACTACTGAATGTTTATGTTTGCTAATGAACTTTCAGCCTTCAACTGAGATTTGTCTCTGATCTTCAGAGAAGTTCCCAGGTGTTGACTTATGTAGAAAAAAAGTATCTAGCCAAATTTTCATAAAATACATTTTATCAACTCAACCATTGTGTGGTCTATCAAATTGTTTCACCTTATTTCAGGGACAAAAGAGGAATGCTGATCTGGAGGACGCTAGCAGATGCCTAGCAGATGCCGAATATTTTCTCATTCTTTGCCAAGTGTACAGTTCATTGTTTGGTCACCTGTGTCTGTCAGTTTAACACTTGGAAGGCAGCTCTCAGCACTGCCATTCTTCTCTAAAACTTACATGGAAGCTTCAAACATTATATGGCTCATTATTTCCCAAAGCAGGTTAAGCCCTTTACTATCAGACTGGAATCCTTCGCTAATTAGATAGAGCTCTTGCTTTGGCACTGAACGTGTCGTGTCTGCGAGCCTCCCGCGGTGGTCAGGGGCTCACTGCTAGCTCACAGAGGTGTCTGGAACCTGCAGCTTTCTGGGGAGGACTGCCTGCTGTTTCCTACAGGACACTTTTTAGCTCTAAAATTCAAGCTCTTCTTTAACAGGCTCTAGGAGGGATTGGATGAGGTATTCACCAATTTACCGAGAAGAGTTTGCTTAAAACTGCCCTGTTTATTCTCTTCAATTTTAGTGTCTACACAAGAATAAGGAAAGCAATACTTTCAAATGTGGAAAAAAGTAACACCACTCTTTAAAAAATGAGTATTTGATAATGGTATTTAACTTTATGTTAAGTTAAAAAAAAAGTTGTTTATGATTAAATTAAGGATAACCCAATATAGGTTTACATTATTAAAATGATATATATATTTTTCTAAATGTTTATTGTTGAAACTATTACATAAGTCTTCCTTTTTCTCCCATAAACCACTTCTAACCCCCTCCCCTCTCCCCCCCCCCCGTTATGCATATATGCATACAAATTCATTGGTTGATCTCTCTTCCCAGCCACCCTCCCCTGCCCTAAGTACAACATTTCCCTTGATTTATCTTTGTTTCAGGAAATACATAATTTATGGTTCCTTTTTTCAGTTGATAGAGTTTTACCAGGTGCACAATAGAGAGACTGAATAACAGACAGAAGGATTGAATGGACTGGCAGGATTCATGCCTTTGAATTGTCAAACAGTGCTTTTGGGAGTTAGTCAAGCTTTGATATTCCTGTTTATAGGAGTGCTCCCTTGTCTTCTGTTTCATCATGGCTTCTTTCTCCCATTTCCAGATTTCCTTGGTTAGAGTGGGGAGCTGGCCTAAATGATGCAAGTACCTTGGTACTTGCTTTCATTATGGGTTAGCTTCTTGAAGAAAATTCTATACCATGGATATAGACCATGATCTAGTATTTGGCTAGTTCATTCGCAGGTTCATTTTAGACACAAGACTAGCTCTACAAGCTTAGTGCATTCTTCTTATTTGAAAGAAAGTACATTATAAAAGTTTTCTAAAGATTACATACAGGGGGAAGAACAGCCAGTCAGCTGCTGAGCAGGAGAACTAAGAGAGGCAGAAGCTGCAGGAGTAGGCATGTTCTATTTGATTTGGAGTGGCAGAGATGTGTGAGTATCCTGTGGGGCAACTTGACTCCATGGCAGGTAAAGCTTAAGCCATCTTGCCGTTATCATCAGAGGGCAGTCTTCTGGGTGAGGAAAGTTTTGCAACAAGAGGTGGTGAGGTACTCATCTGATAAACTTACCCTGTACCCCGGGGTCGGGAGTGGCCCAGGGAGGAAGGGGGCTGGAAGATAGGAGCTGGAAGAAGGGGAGCTGGAGGAAGGTGGAGCTGCTCTGGATCTCCCAAGGTCAGGATCTACCACCTAGTGCAACATCCTCTATCCCCACTGATAGTTTTGAAGCTTTATATCAGAATTTAAAATATATTAAGATTAAAATACCACATAAGATATAAAATTTTATATAAAGCAAAACATATTTAATATAGGTAAATATACTAATATTTTGAGTAATAATCAGTTCTTATGCTTATTTAAAAAAATTCTAACCAATTTTAAGCTACACTTGCCAATTTGTTCTCTCAGGTGAATGTAGATTCCCAGACAAAATTTCCCAGGGTTTTGGTCCCTTCCATATTTGCTACTCTTATCTGACAGTGAGAAACGTGGCTCCCATTATTATTACTAGGCCTTTGTTCAGGTCACTTGTTAGTTCATCCCCTGGACGTCAGTCATGCCTGCTCACCACAGCCATGTTCCAACACCCCAGGCCAGTCACAGTGGCATCCAGCACTGAGGCATCAGTGCTCAGGGAGCACCTCACATCAGGCCCGTCCTCCTTCTGCTTACTTTCCCCTACGTACAACACACCTCATACCTGACTGTCACCCCCTGGTCTTTCTCACTGGCCTAGGCTCAGATACCCTCACAAGCCCATAATGGATCACTCCATTTGGAATACCCTCCTCACTCTGCCCGGGCTCTGACACCTCCTGCTAGGGTGCCTGCCCTGTGGATACTCTTCTTCCCCAGCCAGGGCTCTGTCACTGAGCTCAGTTCACTCCCTCTGCCAATGCTCTCTTCATTCTCCAGGCTCTGACTTCCTGTGCTGGGCTCTCACAGTTGATGGACGCCTCCTTCACCCTGCTGCTCTGGCTCTGGTACCTGCTCTGGATTGTGCCTTCTGGGGGATTCCTGTGTCACCCTACTTGGCTTCTGGATTCCTGCTCCAGGTTGTCCTATCACATGAATGTCCTCCTCACCCCACTCAGGTACTGACACATGCTAGGTGGCCTTCCTGAACATCTTTCTCACCCTGCCCCTGCGTTGGTTTTGCATCTAGATGCCTGCCTTATTCTGCTCATACAGTAGTGGTTTGAAATCCTTCAGAAAAGAAGAGAAGGAAAAAGAGGTAGGGAAAAGCTGTATTTGGTTTTCATATCTTCCTTTCTCCCAAATATATTTATTAAATGCAGTTAAAAAGCAAATAAGGTAAGGTGCCTGCTTACATTCTGGAAGTGGGGACAGACATGTGAAGATCTGACCTAGAGTGTGCTAATAGAGAGCTTTCCCCAGGGTGGGGGGAGAGTGGGTGGCAAGTTGGAAGGACACCTATCTCAGCAGAGAGGAAGATGCTGGAGTAACATCCACGCTAACACTTCATCAGATACTTTAGAAATTTAAGTAAGCATCATATTAAAAGTGTTAGGAGTACTAGGAAAACACAAGCAGATTTAATTTATTTAAAAAGCCTTTATTAATGAGAAAAATCTCATTACATGAGCATTTTGGGCTGTCTCTGCCTCTCTGCAAAACAAGGAAGTTGGTTTAAAAATGGAACCATGCTGCTTCGAGGGCCTGGAAAGTGCCTGAATATGAATTACTGCAACCACTGAGAAGAATTTAAAATGAAGCCCTAAATATTTTATAATGGGAATGCTTAATTTATGCTTGGAGTAAGCATGGCAAACCTCTGAACAAAAAGGGAAGGGAAGCTATTCTTACATATAAAATTCCTTGCTGTTTCTTTATAATTAAAAAGATCAGTGAGGAATATTATTAAAGAGGGTTTTCTCACCTGTGGTGTCATTGGGCTTGCTCCCATGACCCAGACAGGACAACAAGAGGTCTGACCAGTGGGAGACGGCACTCAATGGACAAGGGAACCATGCTGGGCATGAGTCTTGGACCTGAGGGGAGGCTTACACATGGGACTACAGATTCTATCCTGGGGGAATTTTGGGGGATGCACAGTAAGCTCTTGTCTTTCCCATGTATAAGAATTAGGATGTATACATTTTTTCCCCCCCCTGAAAGAATACTTATGCATAAAATAGTTCATAGAAATAGAAATTGAACTATAGACTTTCTGGCATGAGAAAAAAATATTTCTGATAATGACTTGCAAGGTGGAATGTAGTTGCATTATAGAATGCATTCTGTGTTTTTATTTATTTTCAGAGTACATTGGAATTGGAGGTTCAGTATGGGGTGATACAGGCAAGCTGGGTGGTGATCTTAGCTATCGATTGTGGTTGAGGCCCAGTTCTGTTGTTCACAAACAATGATGTTAGGTTATTACTTAACATCTCTCATTTTCAATTTACTCATGAATATGATATAAATAATAATGTTGAGAAAAATTATGTTCTTTTCCCATAGCATATTATGCTGCTTAAAGATTGTTAGGTTGATGAGCTATAGAGATAATCCAGTTTCTCCACACACATTTCATGTCCAAATTACTATTTTTATGGAAATTATTCAATATATCCAGGTTTTTTGCAATGAGTGATTTTGGAATTAAGATAATTTTACTTAGCTAAAACTAAAAAAAATTAAGCTAGCAGTTTTTTTCTCTTTTTGAAGAAATGTCCTTTAAATGGACATTTCTTCAAAAAGAGAAAAAACTGCTAGCTTCACCTTCTTGGTACTTAGGAACCACAGAAATGGGGATAATATTTTTATCTCTAATACAATGCCAATCACATAGTGAAAAATAGCTGTGCTGGTTGTTAATGATTTGCCTGAAAATGATGCTTAAGTTACAAAATTTTATTTTTTCACTGTTGTTACCAACAGGGGCAATGCTCCTTCCTTGTGTACTCAGATTACTTATGTTATATTACTAATGTAATGTAAGACAGTGCATGAAAGAGATAACGAGTTGTGAGATACATGGTTTTATTAAATCAACAGTTATAATATTTGAAAAGAAATATTTAGTCTAATCATCATATAGGGTCCAGACCACACACTTCTGAGAAAACTATTTGTAATAAGTTTGGGTTTGTTCCTATACCTGCTGTTTAGATACTGGAAAATCTTTTGTTTTGGCAATTTTCTTTTAAAATATTCTAGGTTGCAGTGTATCATTTCTGTTTTCATGGCTGCTTTTATGATGTGTTTCTGCTAAATAGGAAGTGGAAATGCAATGCTATCAATGTTTAATAGTTAGTGAAAATAAGCATACTTTTAAATGTAATTTAATTTTTCCCCTCTATTCCCTCTTTCACCTCCCCTCTAACCCCATTCCCACCATCACCACACTGTTGTCTATGTCCATGAATTCTCTGTCTTTTTTTTTTCTTTTTCTTTTTTGCTTAATCTTCTTCTTAGGCATCCCCGTACCAGAGCTGTGAGCCTGCTCTCTATAAGTCTGTCTCTATTTTAAAAATAAGCACACTTTTAAATAAAATAAAACCTCTGCAGATTTAGTTGGATTTTCGAAAACAAATGCCTAATTTTAAAAAATAGTTTTTAATTATAAAAGCATGCATTAAAATGCGTTTTCCGTTTGAAATTACTTATTTTCTTTAGTAACAAAACACCAGACCAAATTATGTAGTATCTATAAACCTGAGAGAAAAGGTAAAACTAATTTAATATTTTTAAGAAAGCATACCATCCAACACTTACAGGCGTCTTCAAACTACGGCCCGCGGGCCACATGCGGCCCGCAGAGGAGTCTGATCCGGCCCGTCAGGTTTTTTGGGCAGTGAGCGCAGCCGAGGTGTTACCGTAGGAATTAGTAGTTCATATAGTCCGGCCCTCCAGCTCTCTGAGGGACCGTGGTCTGGCCCCCACTTTAAAAAGTTTGAGGACCCCTGCAAGAAAATATAGTAAAACTCCCAGAATGTACAGTTTAAAAGGACTGTGTCACTTTAGGATTTAGAAAGTTATCTTTCCTTTATGGTTCTCAATAAATAACAAGAGATACATGACTATAAAACATTATTTTTTTGGTCACAAGTAATTTTATATTTGTGCAGTTTGGAATTAAACAAATGTAATTATGTGATAGACACACAGATATATTAGTACTCACCATTATTAGTGTTTAGAGAAAGTATTCAATAAGTATCTATTGAATGAATGAATTTTAATGGTAAAATATGTTAATCATTGTGACCATATTTCAAGTTTGTTTTGTGAAAATATAATTGATATAAGCTTGATATTCTCTTTTGTTTTTAAAAAAATAATTACATCATCCTGATTAAAGACCAGCTCATCTAAGACAATAAATTCACAGTGGCTGCTATGTGGTATTAAGTTCCTTTTTCCAACAGTCTATACTGTGTTATATTAATTTCGGTTTTGTGTGTTAGTGTGTGTAGTTGTGGATGTTTATATGCTTTTCCAGGTAAAAAAAACCAGTGCTTATAATTTTGTTTTTCTTCCTGGAATATAAAAATTTGGTAAATAAAATTTCTTTTAGAAGTATTTTGAAATGGGAAAGTTTGGTTGATAACTTTCTATGGAAAAATTTTCGTTAATGATTGATTCTTATGCCTTCTTTTGAAAGTTCTCAAAATTAGCATTTTTTTTCCAGTTCTTAGGCTAATCAAGAGGATTGTAACTGAGGAAATTATTCTGTGCATAAGGCCTATAGAATTCCCAGATAGTGAGTGATTGTTCACTTGCCAGATATTATATGGCTATTTTCTATGATTTTGAAAAATAATGACAGTTATTTCTCAGGACACTATTTATTTTGTTTGAAATATCCCCTTCCCCCCTAATTTTAGTAGCTGGGTTGATGCTGAGATACTAATTTTGAGTCATGTTATCTTGGTTTCTGCACTTTGAGTTGGTAGGATATGGGGGACATTGGGTGACCTGGCTTCCTTTAACTGTGTTGATTTCAGGCCAGAGGTTGACATCTTTGATTCTTATCCTATCTTGACCTCAAGAGGTCAATTCCTGATTTAATCACATGCCTGACACTTGGGGATTCTTAGTCTATCTTAGCTTCAATTAACCTTAGTTGTTCATAGTAAAGGGCCCAAATCTCCAAAATTAAAGAAACAAGCTTCTTTAATTTGCCTTGTCATTTGGCCAAAATGAGTTTTCAAACTGCCCCTGTAGAAATTTTTTCATATTGCCTTTTTCTTTTCTTTTCTCACAATAGTCCTTCAAAATGTTGACTGATGTGTAGAAAATTTCATATATAACTAGTAGCAAATTGTTTTCCAAAATGTTCTGTACAGGCTCCGGAGAAGAAAGTTCCTGGGTCATAAATGTGTGAAAAACACTATATGATTTCCCTCCTCTCTTAAATATTCATGGTACTCATTTGTTTCATAATGAAGGCATTTGATAAAATTTGTAGCATAGCACTAAGTTTATGAGAGACCAAGCTTTGGCTCTTGTTGACAAGCTTTGAAGCCATTTTTTCTTTGCCCAGGAACTTGGAAACTATTGAAATCTTCTTCTTTAGTAGTAGACCTGAAGCTTCAGCAATATCCGTGTTTGAAGATTGTGTTCCACTAAACTGATTATTGACAATTTTTTTTCCCTCTGGAGAAAATTGGATGAGGGATGGTGGAATACATTGGGTGAGTGAATTTTAGGAGGCTGGTTATATA